ATAAGAATAAGCTACTTTAATATGTTAAATGWGGTACAGATTTATTTTCAATTTACTGAAATATCTATTCATATGTTAATACGAGACTTTTCATTCGCATGGCTTGTAGGAAAATGTTTATTTTAGTAATGTGATTTTTCATCCACAACATAAAATATCAATTTATTTTTCCTTTTGAATTGTATTTGTAAAAAGTTATAAAGAATTGTTTCAATGAAAATCAATTACATTGAAATAAAATAATAAACCAAAGAGTCTATTACAGCTCAGAAAATATAAGTTGAACTTTGTGATTGAAATAGAAATAGTTTATTTATTCTTTTTCCCTTGTTTTCCTACGACCATTCACATACTAAAGAGCTTATGCCTCTCTCAGTGGCAATTCAATGGCCATTTTATAAAGCAGCTTCCACTCTACAGACACAAATGCGAATATGTTGGAGAGTGCTTCAACGCTGTATCGTGCAGCTAGCAATGCATTAAGTCACCCACACGAAGGGTGTAGCTTCGCTCGGTGGTAAGGGTTCAGGAGGAGACGTTTACTTGTGGTTGGCTTTAAGTATAAACGGAAATCAAAGACATATTGTGCCGCCGCCTGTGCCAAGTGCATCGTGTGTGTGTAAAGACAACGACGGCATCGCCTGCTGCCGTTGACATCAGATACAGACTCGCATGCAGATTAGGGCTGGGAGCTGTCTGTGGTTGGGTGGCTGACGAAAATTGCTGGCATGTCGCCCAACTAAAATGTCACAAAGTCAATTCATGGCTGCAGTCGACGTACATAAATAAGTCTCAGCGCCTGACAAATGCCACACTCTGGCTGAATGAGATCCGAAGTTGGCTTTGTAGTCTAGCGCAATGCGTTGACTGATGCTGGGCCTTAAAAGACATGGCTAATACTTCAATTTATTCAACTGCATGCCATTTGCTAAGTAAATAGTATTTACTATAAGCGCATTTCAGTTTCAGTGAAATTACCAAATAATACGCGTACGCAGCGCAGGACGGGCACAAAAAGCATACAACTTTTTAAAAGTAATAACAATTGTCAAAGCTGACACAGAGGAAAAGTTCATCGTGCTGCTGCTGCTACCGGCGCTCCTTCTGTTGCGTCTGTTGCTCCTTCTGCTGGTGTTGATGATGGCCAGAATGCATTAAATTAAATATAT